AAATTTTTTCGACCATAAACTGAAGCCCATTTCCCTTTCAAAGCAAATGATTTATTCATCCATATATTACCACGAAGACCATAGTTGTCTAGCAAATCATCCCAAACTTTAATAAACTCGCCTTCTTCTTCATACTCATATATGCATTTGCTGAAGTTCTTGTTGAAGTATTGAAACTCTCCAAATACAACACTAAGATTCTTCGAAGCATTCTGGTATAAGTGCCAAATACAAAGGCGGTGGAATGTCTTTGGTCATGTCAAGATTAGAGCCTTCGCCATTGCTGCATCTCGGTCACTAAGTATAGTTTCTGGCTTTATTCCTGACATTGGTGTAGCTAAAGTTTTGAACAACCAAACAAATGTTTATGCAGTTTCATCATATAACAATGTTGCACCAAAGATAGTGATAAGTTTATGATGACCCACTCCAATAAACACGACAAATAGACAACCTTCTTTATTTTTCTATATGTGGTATCAAAATAAACAACATCACCAAAATATTAATAATCAACCATCATTTTTGCATCACTCCAAAATATATTGGTTATTAAATCATCCTTATCAACTTGTTTGGCGTAGAAAAAATTAGGATCTTCTACTTTCATTTGTTATAAATACTCAAGCAAACCACCTATATCTCATAATCTCATTTGAATTGTTCGCTTAGAGCGTAAATAATTTTTATAGTCATCATGAATTAATCTCAAGTTTTCACGTCCTCCAACTCTTCTTGCCATTAATTCACAACTTTCTTTTGGAGCAATACCATAACTTTCAACTAAGTCAATCTCAGATACTAGAGAGAGTGGTATTTTCCTATGAGATATATGAAGATGAGTCTTGCTAGGGCTAGAATTCTCATGCTTATGTTAAGCAATAAATTGAACAATACGAAACTTTCTTGTTGAACGACAATCTACTTTCATTCTTGCCAAACATTCAAACCTTGATTGAGCACGAGGATTATTCACACTAGTGCTTCGTTTATCCTTCTCACGATAACCTTCACATGAACAACAAAATACTCTATCGATTATGTGACCATCGACATTGTTGTGTGCTTTACTTTTCCTCAAGCTAAAACCAACTCTATAAGCATAAGAGTTATAAAAATCATAAGCCGCATCTTCAATATCAAATTCCAACCCAAGTTGTGGTATAATTTCATTTGGAAGTCTATTGTGTATCTCAATAATTTTATTTTTCACTAATTCATCACTACTACCATTCGTAATTGGTTGATGATTTTGTGTCATAGCCTCTCTATTCGACATCACCTTCAATTTAAATAAAACTCAATTTAACAAAAATTATCTTCAATCCACATCAGATGTTACATGTCTTTCTTTTTTATTTTTATAAATAAGACTTGCTTAAAAAAATAAAGCCAAGTTTAAATAGATGCTTAGTTTATGAATTGAAAAAAAAAACATTCAAATTATTTTGCTTACTCCAACCATTTCATTTTTCAATCTGTCTCCCATGCTCACTCAAAAAAAACATACTTAGTTTATATCGAACAAGGATTTTCTATACGAAGGATTTTCCTAAGCTTCAAAATGTGAAAAGTGGTGTAAAAATTGAAGATTCAAAACGTAAGTTATGAATAAAAAGAATGATTCAGGTCAAACAACATACATGTTTACCTCCATGTGTCATTAAATTGAAAAAAATGAAACACAAATGTGAACGAGTATTACATTAAAACTAAAATAAAAGAAAGAAAATATTACTTATATTTGTCATGTGGAGATAATGAAGAGAGAAGCAAAACGAACACGGTCCAAAAGGAGAAGAAGTTTGTTTTTCCTTATATCTTATTTGAAACTGTTATTGTGATGAAGAGAAGAGAAATAGAACTTGGCGAGAGAAAGAAATGCAAGAGGAAAAAGTAGAAATGTTCACATTGTCTCTGTTAGAAATGATTGGCTTTGTGAAGAGGAAAGGTCTTGCGAGAGAAAGAGATGAACATTATGGGAAAGGAAATGAAAAGTCACATGAAATAAAATGAGGAATATTTTTTTGAGTGGAAAGTGATGTGAAGAAAATCTTGCTCCTGACTTTGGCACGATTTTGATGAAGACACCAATATCACAAAAAGAAGAAAGAAATAAGACCTACGAAGATTATCGAAGATAAAGCTTCAAGATTTAGAGTCTAAGTCTTTAGATACTTCTATCCTTACAACTCATTTATTTACTTAGATAAAAATGCTCAAAATTGTTTTCAAGAAAATCAGAATAATCTAAGTGTGAATAAAAATAATTTTCAAAACAAACATGTAACGGGTTACCATACTTGAGTAACAAGTTACATGAGTGATAAAAGAGTTTTCAAACCTCTAACAACTATGAGTAATCCATTACAGAATTTGGAGTAATAGATTACCATTTTTAGAAAACAGTGTAATCGATTACTCTAAGGCAAATTCACAAAGTTGTTAAACAATGTTGTTGAGTAATCGATTACTCAAATCCAGTAATCGATTACACTGTGTGAATTTTCAAAAAGTTGTTAACAGGATTGTTGGGTAATCGATTACCCATTTGCAGTAATCGATTACTGAGAGCTGTTGCATCAGTTTTCAGATTTCAAGTGAAGATGTTTCACTCCAAACTGATTGCTTTTCATTCCAAATGAAACCTACTCATATCTAAGGGTATTATGGTTGATTGGAAGCCTATATAAATGCATTGAAACACTCTCACAACAACACAACAACTTTCATAATAAAATCACACAAAGCTCTTACACTTTTCTGAATTTTCTGCACTTTTCAAAGCAACATATTCTCAAACTTTCTAAGTATTTCTGAGTTGCTTCAAAGTGCTTTCCAAACATTTTCAAAGTTAAAAGAACATTATTATCTCAAGTATAAAGAGTTGTTATTGGATTGCAAGTTCTAGAAATTGTCATATACACTTGTAAGGCAATCCAAGCCAAATTGTACATTCTTCACTTTTGCAAAGTTTACTTTCTTTCACAAGGGTGTGAAGAGAAAGGGTGAGTGACTTGGTATAGTGTTTACCAATGGTGTTACTTAGAATAGGTTTTCCAAGGGGATTAGATATAAGTGAGTGTGTAAGGTACAAGGAGATCTCAGGGTGAGATATTTGTAATTGCAACTCATTATATTTAATAAATGAATCTCTTGTGCGTCAAGAGTAATGGACGTAGCCTTCAGTGGACAATAAGGTGAACCAGTATAAAACACATGTGTACTCTCTTTCACTTCTCTTTGTTATTTCTCTATCTTTCATAGTCAATATTTTTCTGCATAATATTTCCGCTGCACATTAACTTTGATATTGCTTAAAAATTGGTTATACTTATTGCAACAACTAATTCACCTTCTCTTAGTTGCAATCTCAATCTTACAAGTGATGTGAATTTTCTAAATGAAATGACGATATCTAATTGGTCGGGACATGATTTTGGATACCATCATAGGACAGGTGATCCCCATCACATTTTCATATCCTTTTCAAAATGAATTAATATAGTCACTTTCTTTAATTTTGTAGTGAATTTTTTTAGCTCAGAAAATTCAAACTTTAAAAGATATGTTATTGACTTTACAATGGTGAGAAATCATCTCAAATTAATTTCTCCTCCCAATTTTCTTTATCTTTTAAAATAAAAAATATTTTAAGTATTTTAATGTTAAATAATGACAATATATCATTTTAAATTAATTTTCCCTCTTAATTTTGATTTTTTAAATAAAAATAAAATAAAATCACTTCAATAACTTAAAAGGGCATTAGTATACTAATTAATGGGGAAGCTCATTAATGTTGAAAAACATGTTCCAATTATTCAAATTCAACTAATTCATTGTGAACTCATTAATGTGGATTCTCTCTCAAGGAACATAGATAAAAGACAAGAGATAAATTTGTGTTGCTTATCTCCTTCTTTCTAATGTGAGATTGACGTCCCAAGATTCTTTTCATTATCTATTTTAACTTGTTTATTTATTTTCGTCTCTTTAATAATAATATATTTTATTATTATATAATTCGATATTTATTAATATAATAATTTTTGTTTTTAATAAATAATAATAAATATTTTATTTTCATATAAATAAATAGTTACTATCGCGCCCGGATTTTCAGCCACGCGACCTCTTGAGGAGTCGCCACCACGTTTTTTGCGGTTAAAACATGGAAAACTCGAATTATGCCCAAATTGGATAAAATTGGCCTTTATGTTAGAGTTATGAATTCGGGAGTCGATTACGGATTGGGGAAGGTATTAGCACCCCGTCCGCCCGTTATTAAACAGTACCCTAACTAATTGCATGCTTTTAATTTACCCTTACTTTATTAAAATCAAATTGTTTAAAAAAATATGTTTATTTTTTATTTTTGTGTCTGACAAGAGTTTATCTTCCTCCTACGTATCCATTGGTGCAATAGGGAAATGAAGACTACGTAGTTCTTTAAGAAAATCGTTTGTTGGTTTGATTAAAAATTGGTTTGATCGAGAGTTACTAAAAATTAGTTTAAGTTTAAACGAAATGGGATTAATAGACGACGAGTCAACATTGACTGCTTACCCTCTTCTCACTTCGATAAATAGCATAAGCAGTATAAGTGACCGCGACCGATTCTCGACTCGAAGTGAGAAGAAAGATGCAATACGAGTTGTAACCTCGCTATTGAATCCCAAAAACATTTTTATTTTAAAATAACTTAAATATTTTTGGAGAGAAGATTAATAAGTGAAGGGGTTGCATTAATTATTAATTATTTTCTTATTTCGACCGGTTCTCGACTCAAAGTAAGAATTAAAATACCACACTAGTAATAAATTTACTATTAAAATAAAAAAAAGGTATGATTTATTTGGGTATTCACTATTGAGTGAAAGAAGAGTTTTATTTATAAATGGATAAATACATTATTGTACATATATGGTAGTCCCTTTAAATAGAGTTATTGAAACATAATTTTAAATAAGTAAATGCTGAAAATAATACAACAACAAGGTCCAAAGCCCATTCTACAAATCTGAAAACGAGAGAAGGAGATTAGGTTTTAATTGGAATTAGGGGTTCTAAAGAAAGGGAGAAGATGAAGGGGAGGGATCCCTCCACTTACTCCACGTCATGACCATTCATTCTTGGAAATCCAATTGTTTGAATTGGTGAGGACAAAATTGGATGGCTAAGATGAAGAGTAAGTGTTTTTTGGAGTAAGTAGATCCCTCCCCGAAAATGAATGCCTTAGCTGCACCTCCTCCATGAACCGCTGTTGGGGGGAAACGACATTGTGAAGACGTCGGAGCCGCCGCATGAGCCTGCTCGTGGCAGACCCCGGAACCCGTTACGGAGATGAGCGGCGGCAGTACCCCTGAGTTCAAAACCCATGGATTCACATCTGCGTGTTTAAAGGTCCTAACATGGTTCTTTATTCTGTTATTTGGCTTTGGAATTTTTATTTTTGATTTGCTTTTTTAGTAAAGGTAATCCTAACTAAAGCCTTTGATGTCTTGCTTGTTACTTTAGATATTTTGTTGGTTGTGTTAATGTTTTTATTGGGACTTATGTAGAAAACGCAAGAACAAGAAAGAAAAGAAAAATGATACAATTTCAAAGTGGATGAGAATGAAGAATGTGGCAATCCTTCATGCATGGATGTTCATAACAAGAGTATTTAGTGCCAGTACTATGTCCCAAAAGGGATCTCCCTGTATCATGTATTATGGTTTACATAAAAATAAGATGATGCTTATGATTGTTCTTGATTATATGAATAAATAGTGAAGGAAAAGGAGTTATTTTATTTTGCTTTGAGAGATTCTAAGTAAAAAAAAAGTCATATTGATATTGTTTGGTTTCATATAATTATACATATTTATGCTTCATATAAAGAAGGTAAGACACACAAAATACTTCCATTCATACTTTTGTTATCAACATAGTATCCATAAATCAATGATGATATCAAGCTATTTGAGTATAATAGACTTATAAACATTGACCTTTTAAGCTTCTTACTATTGTTCCTCTCAGCACTCCTTTATGATGCTTTCTCCAAAACTGAAAAGAAAGAAACTGTGCTTCTTTCTTTTTATTCAATGTATCCTTTTGTTCTTGTGTGTTCACTGTTCTGTGTTCAATGTATTTTCTTCGTGTGTCTTTTTTTGTGTGTTCAGAGTCCCCTCTATTTAATAAATGCAGCACTACCACTCTTCCTAGAAAATTTGTTTTTTCACTATTTTTATTATTTTCGAAATAAATAAAAGTATATATATTTTAGATACATTAAAATGGAAAATAAAACTGGTTTGGACCCATTTTTATGGGTCGGGTAAAAAATGGTATTCACAGCTACTCATTAATAAAGCTTGTTTTTTTATAAATAATTCTAAGTATTCTCTTCCATTAAAATATTTAGCACAAAGTTAAAAAAAAATATTATTTTCCTCAATTAATTCAAAAATATTATATGGATTCATGAAATGATAAAAACTAAAATCATATTTGTTACTCTTTAAGTTAAGATACTGTATGGGACATAGGACTTGAAATTGGCAAGTAAATAATGAGAAGTTTTTAACCATTTATTTAAATCTTATAATAAAAACACTTTAAATATTAAAAAACTAAATAGAATATTAATTATGCCTTCACACTCCTTATATTGAGACGCAAAATAAATATCACTCAACCAATAAACACTTTTCTAATTAAGAATTATGTAGTCTTGATTTCCTATTATTTATGGAGATACGTAGAAGAATATATAATCTTGCGAGACACAAAAATAAAAAAATAATTTTTTCCTTAATAAATAAATGAATAAAATAATCAAACAACCATTAGTATAAAATAGTTCATGTGATTAGTGAGGGTATCGTCTAGTACGGTGGATAAGGTGCTAATATATTTTATATATGACCCATATAATCAACTCGAGAACCCATATTTCTAAATTGATGACCAATGCATTCCAACAATGAGCAAAAATAGGGTTTTCTTTATTTTGAACGTAAAAAGATACAACTCCAACATGTCATATATATTATTTTCAACCGAAAATAAGGTCATGACAACTTGCGACTCTATTGAAACATTTTTTAAGAGAGTCAGACCCATGTGAACCTAATATCCTTTCATCTTGTTTGATTTTTTAATTAATATAATTGTATCTATTCCTTCCTATATATTTACTTGTTATTATTAAAAATACAGATTGCACGCCTCCAACACATAACACAATACAATTGCATTGTGCACACACTTGTCCTATACCCGACATAGATATATTTTAGGATAGGAGGGACATATGCTTTGGTAGTGTTGTGAGCAATTATTATAAATTAGACACTTGGGATAAAGACTCCTTGTTTCTAACCTATGATATATAGGTTTCCTTTCTTCATGGTTGAATTTAGTCTGGGGACCTCATACTCACGTGACTTTTAGATGTTACCCCATTTTAGACACAAGAACCATATATTCATTTGTATCCCTAAAGAAAACCTCATCATAAATGGGGACTCTTGTCCCTTAAATAAATTAATTAGTGTCATCTCAACCTAATGGTATAGGATATCATTCCATATTGGTATCTCTACACCATAGATGCATCTAAACCTGGATCCTTTGTCCTAAGTATCCTTCATCACAAGAAATAATAAGTGATTCTCACATCTCTTTTTTTATTCACATGCATAGACTTTTTCAAACTCCTCTCTGTCTGAAGCAGCATATATGGATTAGGCATTGTTTTGTCATGTGCTCTTCTGATCAAAGTTCATGTTTGCTTTGGGCACTTTAAATCCCCTCTCATGTTTTTGAATTTAAGGACCATTTTCACTAATGTGTCATAAATCAGATTTGAGGTCTTAACATGAAGAAGATGAACAATGCGTGTGTTTCTTTTCTTTACATCCTTCCAAAACCAGTTGCATTGCCACGAGTTTTCACCCTTAACTTTCTGTCACTTGATTTATTTAATATTGTTTCGCATTCGTTAAATGAAGAATATTTACTAGTTCGATCTTTACAAAGATTGCTTCAGTTGTAAATTAATGTTTCATTGATGTTATTTATAATTACATACAAAAAATTGGAATTCATTCATAAAACCAATTATTCGAATAACACCCTAACAGAGACCAATATCAGTTACACCAGATATATAAATCAACAACATGCATTTTCGGGATATAATAACACTTCCGGACGTTGTCTATGTCAGCACAGTTTTATATGATATGCTTTAACAGCACTTATGCAGATACTGTTGTATGTCAACTTTTAACAGCGCCACATCCAACAAGCGTCGTTATATATGTACATGACTTTTAACAGCGTCTCTTTACAATGAGAACTATTAATATATCATATTTAACGACACTCATATTAAATAATTAAGTCATACAATACTAAGTCATGTACATATGGCCATGTATGTAGATTAACAAGCATACAATACAAAGTCAAAACAATATATAAAAGCTCTTATCATAATTGTCCATAGAAAACAACTAAAGCAAACCTAGTTGCCATTTATTTGAATAAAACCAAATAACAAGGCTTTTCAACTCCACAATATTTGCATTCAACTACAGGAACCAAAGCTCTTCTGATATTCACTTTTATTAGGATTATTAAGTTTGCTTCAACTTCAACATCATGTGATTGAGTTTGCTTTAATAGGATTAAGCTTGTGCCTCATTAGGATGGTGAGGAGAATTAGAATCTAGTATATTATTTTCCCCTTCCTGTTGCTGAATTTTGTGAGGGCTAACATCACTGCCGCCGCCGCCGCCGCTGCCGCCACCACTTTCAAACTTACCAACAGTATCCAATGGTTGAGCCTCCAATAAAGGTTGTTGTTGATCATCCTGAATCACTAACTGATCATGTGATTTTACCATAGACACTGATGATGATGCCTCCATGTTGATGTTTCCATTAACTTTTGATGAAGAAAAGTTTCCATCATGATATATATTTGGTATAACCATCCCAATCGGTGGAACCAAACTAGGGTTTTGAACCATTTCTTCTAGGGTTTTCATAGCTTGAGGCCCAAGATAAGTAGAGATTTCTTCCATTGTGTTGTTAATATTAGTCTTGATTTGATTCAACCTATCATGCAATTCAGAAATAAAACCTATGCAACCATTCACAGGATCACGAAGACGAGCCTCAGCTTGGTATACAAGAGATTTCACAACATCTTCACGTTGACAAGGGTTGAGTTCACGTAAAATCTTTGAGACATTGTTGGAGCCAAAGACTTTGTGAACTTGTTCGAAGCGTTGAAGATTTTCTGGTGGGAAATATGGTGCAAATAAACATTGTGGTGTACATTTTCTCTTCATATGCTTGCATGCTGCACATGGTGGTGCATTTGATGATGACATTGTTGATGAAAATATGCTATTTTCTTTTTTGGATTCATGGTCATCAAAACAAAACAAATAAAAGATATCAATATTGTTACTAATATCTTCATTAAAATAAGCGATTGCATTGAAGATTTTTCTATAGGAGGAATCAATGAATGAATTGAATTAATAAGAAACAAGCTGAGATAAATTGTGTCTACTAAACCCTTTTGTAATAAATGGACACAACCATAAAGATCTAGCTTACGCTTAAGACAATACACACACTTGTTTGCACAACTTTTGAAGCTTTCTTTTTGAAGGGTGTGTTTGGATGTTGAATTTTGAAGGGGAGGAAGGAAGATAGGAGGGTTTGTGAGCCATGAAATATACTAGTGAGATGATTCTGATAATTTCTTTAATTATTTGCTCTTCATATCTCAACTCACAAATAGACCCTAAGGCTTTGTTTGGGAGTGTGATTTTGGAGGAGAATGGAAGGGGAAGAATGACGTCTTTAGAAAGTCTCCCTCTTGTTTAAGAGTTTGATGAAGGAGAGGGGAAGGTTTTTGGAGGGTTTCTCACACCCTAAAACCTTTCGTGTGTCTATTTTTATAGTTCCCCCAATTTAGGGGTTTTCTAGAGACAAAATGTAAAAATATCTAAATAATTTTAGTAAAACTATATAATTATATATTATTGCTAATTTCTCATTGTTAATTACATTTTTAAAGGAAAAATAAAAAATATTAACATTATCATTAGTTTATTCTCTCCATCTAAATTTCATACTCTCAAACAAGAGAGATGATTCCATTCTTTTCCCATTCCCTTCCCCCTTTCCTACCCCTTTGATTCATCTGCTTCCATTCCTCTCATTACTCCCAAACATAGGTTAAGGCTATGTTTCAGAGAATGGTTTTGGAGAGGAAGGGAATAGAATAAGTGACTTTGCAAAGTCTCTCCCTTGTTTGAGTTGGATGAAGAAGTGAATGTTTTGAAGGGTTTCTGGAATCCTCGAAAAACTTTCATGTATTTGTTTTTTAGTTTCTCCAATTTGGGGTTTTCTAGAGACAGAATGTCAAAATATCTATATGCTTTTAGTACTATCATGTAATTACATTATTGTTCATTTCCTATTGTTAATTATATTTTTAAAGGAAAAATAAAAATAAATATTATCACATTATAATTATTTTACTCTCCTCTCATCTAAATTTCATATTATCAAACAAAATAGAATTTTAACTTAATTTGTCTTTATTCCTCCTTTTGATCCCTTTCTCCCTCTTCCTAGTTGTTTGATTCATCTCA